TTAGACAAGCTGTTCTATGAATATGAAAAGACAACCTCTGTGAAGGAAGCTTACCTCCCAGCACAGGACAACAGACTGAGGATGCGTGCTTCCAGACGTAACGGAAGTGGTGGGCTGTGCACTGATGCACTCTTTACATTTCAGTGGAGTTTATTATTTGCTTCTCTTCCTCTTTCCTTGTGTCCCTTGAGAGTCTATACACCTGTGTATATACACATACACACACAAGTATATATTTGTGGAGGAGCACAGGGCCTCCGTGGTGTTCAAACCCACTGTGCAACTCCGCCTTCTGAATCAGTCTCCTCAGAATTATGTCTCAAAAGGTCTGAATGACTCAGCAAGTACCTACCATTCTTCTTCTTTTCTGTCAAAACGTAGCTTATTTCCCTAAAATTATTAGTTAAATCCTTATGTAATCTTATTCCAGGACTACAGAAACAGAGTTTTTATATTTAATGTATTTACTTACTATGTGTGAGTGTGTGTGTGTATGTAAGGAAAGGGGGCTTGAGATATTAAGGAACCAAAGGAGCCATCTCTCAAAGGACTTACTTTAGTAATTCTGTTTGAATCATGTTCCTTTTTTTTAAGTCCAAGAAATCGTATTTTTAGAGTTAATTTTGGAATTTAAGTTACTTTTCTTTCTGCCTGGGTGAGTCCTACTCATCCTGCTAGGCTTAGCTGAGACTCGAGCCGTAGGCAAGAGGGGATGAATGCCTGTGACACTCAAATCCTCTCTCATGAAACTTATAGTTATCTATATCCAGATATTATTTTGTGTCCTTGTGTCCAAACTCCTTTAAGGTGATAACTGTGTCTTTCTCATTCCTTTCTCCTCTTAGGGCAAGCGATGGGACATAATAAGCAAGGGCAAGGGCTTGCAGTGTAGACAGACGTAGGTTTGAAGGCTGCTCTGACACTTTCAACTTTCTCCTCGAACTCATTAGCCTCTCTGAGGCTCATAGTTGGCAGGTAGTTATGAGGAATAAATGAAATGATCCAAAGTATTTGTAACGTTAGATGGTCAATAAATTAGTTAGTATTATCTCTTCCTCTGCTTGGGCTAGCGCATAACAGATATGAAGCAAATTCATATTGAGTGACTAAGTGGCTGAAGTAATAGAATTTCAATCTATTATATATCCTTAACAAATATAATTTATAGTTCCTATGTTATAACATGCTTATCATCATATCTGTGCAATCCCAAAACTGTATGTAGTATTTTAGAAACATTTTTTGCTACTTCTGAACTCAAGAATCACCCTTTCTTTTGTTTGGTTTCAAATATCCTACAATTTGGCTTGACCTTTATTGCATTTATGTCAAGAGTTAAACAGATGGTTTCTGAATTTTACCCCAGATCACCCATAGTTTCTTCCCTGGCTGTCTTCTGTACTGGTCCCGGGCTCCATTAGGCTCTGGTCCTTTGCATGATTACCTTGGCATTCTTCCAAGTGGAGCCTTCTAATTTTAGAGTCAAAACACTGGAAGAACAAACCACAGATGTGCATTGAAATATGCACAGTATGGGTACAGAGCCATTTCTGAGAGTTATAATAAGAAAGGTCTTTAACCTAAAGATGTTGTTTGAAAACTTAGCATATTTCCTGCTCTTTTTCTTTGTCTAGTCCAAGAATACTACCTTGTTTTTCTCACATCACACTGGGATTTGAGAAACTAAAAATATTTTATCAAAATACTTATTTTCCAAGTATAGCCTGCGTCTCTCGTACGTGTATAGATCATAAGAGATTTTCAAGATTATTTTCCACTCAAAACAAGCTTTTGTTTCTATATAATACAAAGCTTTTTTGCACTTTATAATTCAATTAATCTCTTAAGGATACTTAATAAAAAACTTTTTTTCCAAAAGGAGGTCAGAAACTTCACTATTACTAAAGTCCAAACGTTTTCAAGGCCAGAATTATGCCTGTCTCATAATAGGTAGTCACTTAGGAGTCACACAGATCTGATTTCAAACACAAATCCTGAATCTTGGTAGTCATCTTTCCTTGATCAAGTAGAAAAATATTTATTTTCTGTATCCTATAGCTGCAGCAAAGTAAAATAGAAAAAATAAATAGAGGGATTTTTTTGGTGGATTTGTCTAAGATAGATGCTCTAAACAGATTTTTAAAGAGAAATTTTTTTGGAAAAGTAAGATTTAGAATCTGCATAGTAGGTTACCGCTAATTTATTTTTAAGATCCATTTGTCAAGGGTCCTAGCTTGCTGGGGCCACTATGGTTTTCAAGATAAAGGTGAAATTGGTCTGAACCCCACCCCAGAGTTCTAGGGATCTTTGGAGGGAGAAATGGAGGAGGCTTGTGTATCTTGTAGCTTTCTCTTGACTGTTTCTTACATTTACTGATTTCTCCGTTTCCACTCTCTTCTCTCTTCTGCTTGTTCTGCCTCTTTTCTGTATTGCATTGCCTCACTGGATATCACACAGATCTTTATTTCTCTAAGTATTAACTTACAGTTTTGTGTTAGTTAACTTCATTAACATTTTAAAAATATGGGACAAGGAAAGGGAGAATTACATTGTAGCCAGAAACAGCTTGAAATTCAGTATTTGACATAAAGTTGAATTTTCTCCTGTTTTTGAAAGTGCCGTCTGCCATTTCATCCCTGGAGAATTTTCCTTAGTCTTCTACTAGGTTGTCAGTCCCCTGTGTGTAGCTGGGTCTCCCCTCTTCTCTCACCTCTGTCGCCTTGTCTTATGTGCCTCGAAGACCCCAGCACCTCGCTTCCCTTTCACTTCCTCTGAAGAGCCATTGACTCTCCCTTTGTCCCGCCACAGACATTCAGGGTTTCTACCACAGGGCTTCATCTTTCGATACATGCCATCAGGCAATGGTTTTCTTCTCGTTTCTTTTTAACTCAAGTACACTCTAGAAGAATTTTGGATCCCCTCACGCACATTTTTAAGTTGATGTCTAAAATTTGTTTTCTTGTGTTTCAATAATTGCAAAGGAAGTCATTCCTGGTATATTTCTACATGCTTTTGGTCTATTTAAAATATTTAAGTTTCAAAAGTTGTAGATTTAGTTCACTCAGTTCTGGAAAATGACTGCCATATAGCCTAATTCCCAAAGCCAGTCCTTACTATCAAACTAATCAACCCATCCGACTCATTTTCTAACAGAAAAGATCAATTCAAATAAACATGTTAATATGTGTTGCTGTGACACTCATCTCACATTTGAATTCTAATTCTAAGATAGACAAGTGGACAAACATGGAAACATATATGGTTTGTGGACAAAGGTCTTAGTAAAGAGCGGGGCTGTAGATCACTGTTTCACTGTTGAGGTTTTCACTCTCCCTTGGCCCAAGATAGGAAGTCTCCAAACTGTCTAGTCTCCAGACTTCCCAGAGGGCGTTGAAGACCCTGTGCGTGGCCTTAGCGGATCTCGCACTGTTCCATCACATTTATCTTGCTTTTCCGGGCAAACTAGACCGATTGCCTTTGCCTGAACATATGTGCTTTCTGCAGTCTTCCTTTTGTTCTTCCTCTTTCCTTTGCCAAGAGCATCCACTCATTGACCTCCCCATGTTGAAGCTGGACCATTTGTTTGTTTGATACGTATTTACTGAGCTCCAGTCTATGCGAGGAACTAACTATACTTGTCATTTTAGAGAAAGATACTGATAGAGTGTTTTGTTTTTCCTTTAGTTGGATGCGAATGCTCCCTGCTTTTAACTATCTTAGAATAGTTTGCATCTCACAGAACAGTTTCCTTGCCTGCGTGGTACACCGGTTAACTGTGTGCTTGTCCCTTACCTCCTAAAGTGTATTGGAAGCAGGAGCAATGCCTTCATTGTTGTAACTCCGGTAGAGCCTCAGTCAGCTCCTGGCCCTTACTCAGTGCTCAAGAATCTGTCACATTGAATGGCGTCTAGAGGCACCCTATGGGGATTAGTAGAACCAGAACTCAAAAAGTCTGGTTCCCAGACCCCACTAACCAGAGGCATTCACTTCTGACTCCTCAGGAATTCCATGTGTACTGACAGATAAGTTTTCCCGGGCAGCACCCACCCAGCCCTCTCCTGCAGAAAGGACTTGCTTTAGAACAAGCTTCATCCAGGGTCAAGAGAGAGAGGCTGGAGACCCTGCATTCCATTCTTACCCACCTATTCCCTATACAGTTGGGAAGCACATGTGAAAGTTGACTTAATTAAACTGACAATGTTGTTGACTTTTATTAAGCAAATACTGTCAAAACCAAATTGAAAGCTAAGTTATTTTAAGTAATTTTCAGGGTGCAAACATTTTACTTGAAATCCCATTAACTAAACTGTCTAATTTGGCTGAAAGCCCTGACCGTGCTTTGGGTCAGAAAGATTGACCCCCATCCTTTTTCAGGTGGCTTCAGACTAAATATCAGCTCAGGTGCGCATGTCACATTAGGAACCTTTGATGCACCTGTGTTCAGAGAGCTCGCCATTCCAGATGAAGTACGTGTGCCCCATCACCTTTAGCCTAACATTCTTTTTGGGCCTTCTGAAATGTATGACTCCAAAACCAAAAGTAAAAACAAAAAGGAATCAGGGAAGAGACAGAAGAAGTAAGCCAGATGGCTTTTCAGATCTTTTACTTTGTGCTTTTAACGTCAATCTTTTATTGCTGTTTCCTTAAGTGGAATAAGAATTTGGACATGAAAGAATGAAATGAGTGAAAATTGAGCACCTTTCTGACAGAGACTATCTTAGTCATTTGATAGTCATAGGACTGTGAGAACCAAGGTTGGATACCAATCCATCATGTCAACAGTGATCAACATTGGTTTAGTTTTTCATGTGCAATATTTTATCTTGGTAAACAAAAATGATAAAAAGAGGCAATAAATTACTAAACTTGGTATGCAAAAAGTAATAGTAATATTAACACTTGCTGTCAGAGGCACTATTTAACCTGTGTTGATGAGGTCACATAAAATCACTGGCCTCTTAAGTTCATTGTTTTTGCTTTCTTTTTAATTCTCTTTGCAGGTAAAGATAAGATTAAAGTGTCTGAGGATGACTTGAAAAAACTCCTTCTGATTAAATGGTGTGTTTTGGAATCCATTCGTTTAAGAGCCCCTGGTATCATTGCTAGAAAAGTGGTGAAGCCGGTTAAAATTCTGGTGAGTTTTTGTTTAGTTTTAAGATAATCAACCTTCTAGGAAATAGCAAAAGTACATATTTTGCCCATATATCATTAGGTAATTCTTTAAGTTCCATTAAGCACTAAGTGACCCTGGAACAGGTTGCTAATAAGAGCTGTGCAGCAACATTTTATTAATATAGATATTTATCTGTTGGTGACTATTTTAGTTAAAACATAATAATAATCATTTAATAATCATTTTGGCTCTGTGATTCTGCATCAGAATTAGTGTAATCCTGTTTCAGTCGAGCAGGTGGTTTGGATAGTCTCTTCTCTGCTGAACCAACCATTGACTGTTCCTGAGCAGCAATAGGTTGAGGAAATTCAGGATGTCAGTAAAGTTCTTTAGGATGACTGCAAGACAATTTCAGGCCACAGATCACAGCTGTGGGAACAGATGGCAGGAGTGCCGTGGATAATAGTGGCTGTTATTAGCAATCAGCAAGTGAGCGAGGGAGAGAGGTCCTTTCTATGGGCAAAGTAGAAGGAAGTTCTCGAGTGCACTATGATAGGTATGCCCATGGCAGACTTTCGGTTCAATATTTGGTGAATCAATCAGGCAGAACCAAGTATTTCTTTCAGAATGGTTTGGCTTGGAGCCTGCATCATCCAGGTAGATCACATTTAGTCAGCCCTCCGCTCCTGCTGGCTTTTTATACACAGATTGACAGTGCTTGCGTTTAACCAGGAAAATTTATAGTGGTAGAACACAAAAAGACAAAAAAATCCAAATTTTATGAAAAGTCGCAACTTGCTAAATCCAAAGGAGATTTAGTTTAACTGATCTTACATAAATTATATATTTATGTATAAATATATATTTTTATAAATTAAATATTTTTTATAAATTAAAAAATATTTTTAAAATATATAAATATATTAACATAAAATTATATGTTTATATATCTTACATAAATTAGTTTTAGTGGGATTTTAACAATTTTTGCTTTTAAATAATCAAATTATTAATTACTTTAAACTATGAGTATAAAAGAGCATGCTTTGAGAGGAAACAGTGAAACAACTTGGTGCAATTAAGTGGAGCAATGTGTTTATTACTCTGAATATTACTATCATTTTTATTGAAGTTTAGGTCTTATTTATATTCTGGCTGGTAGATAATTAGCTGAATTGCAGAATAGGTATTTGTCTGCCAGTGAGTATCTTGATTGTTACTTTAAGCATACAGATCCTATACATGTTTTGTTAGATTTATACCTAAATAGTTCAGTTATTTGGGGGCTTTTGTAAATGATATTTTTAAAAATTTGGATTCTCCATCTGTATTTTGACCTTGTATCTTCAGCTTTAATAAACCTAGTTATTGGTCCTAAGAGTGTCTTTGTAGGTTCCTTAGGAGTTTCTATGGAGACAATATTGTAATTTCTTCCTTTCCTATCTGCATGCTTTTTATTTCTTTTTCTTGCCTTATTGCACTGGCTCTGACTTCCAGTGCTATGTTGACTAACAATGGTGACAGCAGATGTCCTTGCCTTGTTCCTGATCTTAAGGGGAAAGTGTTTAGTCTTTCACTAAGTATGACGTTAGCTGTAAGTTTTTGGTAGATACTCCTTATCACGTTGAGGAAATTCACCTCTATTTCTAACTTGCTGGTAATTCTCATCATGATAATTTAATCATGGGTGTTGGATTTTTGTCTAATTCTTTTTCTGCATCAATTGGTATAATCATATACTTTTTCTCCTTTAATCTCTTGATGTGGTGGATTTCATATACTGGTTTTTGAATGTTGTACCAGCCTTTCATACCATGAATAAATCTCATTTGATCATGGTGTATAATTCTTTTCATATGTTGTTAGATTTATTTTGCTAATATTTTCTTGAGGACTTTTGCATCCAAGTTCATGCAAGATATTGGTCTCAGTTTTCTTGTGTTTTCGTACTATTTTTGTCTGGTTTCTATATCATGACAGTCTCTTAAAAGGCGTTTTATGTTTGTCCTGTCCTCTTCTCATAAGCACTCAGATTCCCCTTTTTTCTTCTTTCCTCTCTCCTCCAACCTCCCTTCCTCCCTTCTTTCTCTCTCTCTCTCTTCTTCCTTCCTTCCTTCCTTTCTTTGTTTCTTTCACATTTATTTACTTGTGAAAGGCAGTAGAGAAAAAATCTGCATATGATTCCCCTCTTCTTCTTCCTTAATTCTTTTCTTTTCCTCTAATTTTCTCTTTCTAATCTAATTCTTCAAGTTCTTTTACCCTGAAATCTCTCTCCATTAAAATTGCCATTTCACCTCTACAAATTATGCCCATGCCCAAAACAGAGAGAAAAAACTATAAAGATCCTTATATCTAAATTATTGTAGATATTCTTTTTCCTGTTGCTTTTGCATCTTTTTCTCTCTCTCTCAGCTTCAGCATGGCTTACGGAGCTTCAAAACATTCTGTCTTGGGCTTCTCTGACCAGTCGTTCTGCTGCCACATATATGGCAGCTTTCCATGCCCCTTCTCAAACCCAACATCTGACTTGTGCTATTTCATTAGCTAAATACATGAGACCATCACAGGATAGTTTTATAACAAAAAAAAATTTTAATTTGTTACAAAGATAGATTTTCTTCCCAGACCCAAATAAAAACCTTTCTGCACATGCCACTTTCGAACCAACGTAATGCACTTCTGCGTCTGCGTTCTTTTTGGCTTCTGCTATCCTGACCTTCAGTACAGTCTTACGTCACTTAATGATGGGGATGCGTTCTGAGAAACGTGTCATTAGGCAATGACATCATTGTGCAAACATCATAGCATGTACTTACACAAGTCTAGATGGTACAGCCTACTACACACCTAGGCTATATGGTACTGATTTAACGGGACCACCTACATATACATGGTCTGTTGTTGGCCGAAATGTTGTTAAGGGGTGCATGACTGTGTTCTTATGCTGTTCATTTATCTTTTTTTGCTTGATTATACTTACACCCCAGTACTTCTCCCTTCAAATAGATGCTCCCTTTTCCTTACTGTTCTCTTGTCACACTGTAGTCATCCCCTTCCTTTTCCTTTATCTTTTACTGTACTATCACCTGAAGTCTATCTTCTTTGCCCCCTCTTTTTTCCCTTCTAGTAGTGCTTTTCCACTGGGTAGATGTTAGTTTCATGGTTTTTTTCATTTTAGGACCCTTGAAGATGAGTCAGTTGATTTCTCCCTTCCTTGTTTTTATTTTACCATAAGGTGTTGGCACAAAGGTATTTGTTTTGCACCATAAAATTTCTAGGCAACTCACTTGTTTGCTGGTCAAGTTGCAACATTGCTTGATGCAGTCACTCTACATTTCACCCCCCCATACACCACCTGAAACACTTCTCTATCCTTAAGCAAGTAACTCTTGGGGGAGCTTTTAACTGCATATCCTTCTCAGGACTGTGTTCCACCACAAGGCCTTGTAACTTTTGTTGGGGCTATTAATACCTCATATTTCTTCAAAGGTAATTTTTACTTATTTCAACAGCTTTACCAAAAGAAACACCCATGCTGAAACCATGCACACACATATACATTCGGGCATATACAACCTGCCACGACCGCTTAACTGTACACAATTATCTAACATGCTCTTTGTGTGCCATCAATACAGAAACGTATGTTTCATTGTAGTGTAAATCCATCATTTAAAGAAAATTTTTAACACTATTCTTCACATTTCTTGCATCTAGAGAATTTTCATATTTATTTCAATGGCCACATCATTGTACATTGAGTTGGTAGCTTAAATATGTATTTCCTGATGCTTGAGAATTTAGATTGTTTTCCTTTGTGGCTATTTTAATGTGGTAGTTATTTGTATCTTTGTGCATAGTACATTTTCTTTTTTATTTTTTAAATTTTATTTATTTATTTATTTTTTGAGGAGGATTAGCCCTGAGCTAACTACTGCCAATCTTCCTCTTTTTCCTGAGGAAGACTTTCCCTGAGCTAACATTCATGCCCATCTTCCTGTATTTTATACATGGGATGCCTACCACAGCATGGCTTTTGCCAAGCAGTGCCGTGTCTGCACCTGGGATCTGAACCCGTGAAACTCAGGCTGCCAAGAAATGAAACATGCAAATTTAACTGCTGCGCCACCAGGCTGGCCCCATATTTTCTTTTTTAATGATTACCTTTGAATTATGTTTTAACAGTTGATTACTGGTCCAAGGGTATAAACACATTTGTTCACTGCTTATAATCCTCTTACAAAACTTATGGATTCCCAGTAAAATTTTTTTAATTAAAAATAATAGATATCCAAAATAATTTAATGAATTATAAACAAAAGATTAATAGTGGGGCTGGCCCGGTAGCACAGTGGTTAAGTTTGTGCGCTCTGCTTTGGCGGCCCAGGGTTCACGGGTTCAAATCCCAGGTGTGGACCAACATACTACCTATCAAGCAATGCTGAGGTGATGTCCCACATACAAAATAGAGGAAGATTGGCAACAGATGTTAGCTCAGAGCCAATCTTCCTCACCAAAAAAAAAAGTTAATAGTCTCTTACTTCCACTCACTTTCTTCCTAGAGGACATGAGGCCCAGATGTATCCAGGCTCCTTCCAAGCCCTAGCAGCTGGTTATGGCTATCCTAGTGGTAGAAACATATGCTCAGGCTGCCATCTACTAAGTTCTATCATTTCCTTTCATTATTTTTCACAATATTTTAAATATTTGTAATATTTAATATTTGTTTCCTGTACTTATTATCTCTTTTATAAATAAACACAGCCTTTTGTCTTAGGAGGTCTGGACTAATCCCTGTGAAGTTCTCCCAGCAGAATTGAGACTTTAAATTTAAAAATAACTTGCACAGCTATTATTATAACCATTATTACTATATTATTATAATTATTATTATAACTTGCTTTTTCTTATTATTACATAAGTAAAACATGGTAATTAGAGAAAAAACAGAGACCATAAAAAGAAACTGAAAGAAGAAATTAAAAATTGCTGAAAATCTTGCAAGTCAAAGATAACCACTATGAATATTTTGGTATTATAATTTCATTCTTTTTTTTTCCTGTAGTATGTGCATTTTAAAAACACTAAATTGGGGTCATACTATGCTAATTTTCTCATAGCTTCTTTTTATTTTATTTAATAATATCACAAATAGTTTTCTATATCAATAAAAGACATCTGCACCATTTTGAATTGCAGCATAATAATCTAATATATGGACATATTATAAATTTTTGAATCAGTTCTCTATTCTTGAACATGTATGTGGCTTCCAGTTTTTCACTATTATAAACGGTGTGAAGATTAACATCCTTACAGCTAAATCTCTGTGTACATTACTAATTATTTCCTTCGTATAAATTCACACAACTTGGTGCTTTTAAACTTTGTGTATTTTCTAAAACAGTTGAAATGTCTTTGCTGAATGGACTAACGTGTTTCTAGGAATTCGGATTATAAAAAACATTTCATGTGTGATCATCTGTGTCAAGTAGTGACAGGCTCATATTTTCTCTCCTGTCAGATAACCAGTCGAGGTTCCTTGCTATGAATGCTAGAAGTATTTCCCATTGCGCTTCCCTAATGTAGTCTAAACAGGGTATCATTGCTTATTTCTGCTTCTGTAACCATTCCATTCCATATTTTTTAGAATACATTAAAATGGTTAAACACTATCTACTTTCTTTGATTTACTCCATTCCTTCTTTCTCTTTATTATACCACCTTTCCAAACTCTTAAACTTCTCCCTGTACTCTCTTTTCAAGATTTCATATTTTTAGTACAAAGTTACTCTGCAAGAATACCAAGGAAAGAGTAAACAAGGAAGTGTTGGAAAATATGAATAATTAAGGAATATTAATTACCTTCTTAAAGTATTAAAACATGTTATAAAACTAAAGCAATTAAAACAGCAGGGTAGTGGTATCAGATCAGACGTTCAGATCAATACGCCAGACTCGATAGGCAACAAAGAAACAAACCTCCTTGTCCATAGGAATTTAATATAGTATAAATGAATCATTGTAAGTCAATGAAGGGGGAAGGATTAACATATGGTTTGGGGTGACTGGCTAAAAGTGGGTATAGTTTTTAATTTCTGGAGTAGCTGTTCTCAAACTCTCTGGTCTCAGGATCCCTTTCTACTCTTCAGAATTATTAAAAATCCCAAAGAAATTTTGTCTATGTGAGTTATATCCATCAATATTCTATATTAGAAACTAAAGCTGAGAAATTATTAAAATATTTATTTAGGAAGTCATTTAAAAAATAGTGAGAAACCTATTACATGTTAAAGTAATAGCATGGTTTTATGAAACATAACTATATTTCTCAACACATAAAAATTGTAGAAGATGATGGTTCCTTTGGATGTTAGTCCCCTATCTGTCCCCTTGCTAGCAAGCTGTAATAAAAACCCTTTCTCTCCTACCACCTTGCCTCTCGACTGTTGGCTTGTCTGGCAGTGAGTAGAGGAATCCCTTCTTTTGGCAGTAACAAATTTGGTGACCCAGATGGGACTTTAAGTCTTGCTCACAGCCAGTCGACCTTGGATGGGCGACCTGTTGGATAAGCCCCTAGCAACTGTTGAGGCTGCCTTTGTCTCAGGGATCTGCCCATCCTGCTCTCCTGTACTGATGCTGGCTGCCTCCTAACGCTGCCTGTGGTAGGAAGACAAATGGCTACATCTGATGAGTCCACAGGCTCAGTCAGTAATAGGGTGTAGCGTCAGGGGCACCCAAGAAATCCCTTCCTCTCCATCTGGAGTCCTTCCATTCATGGCAGGACCATCTGGGTGTGCATTCAGAGTGGGAGTAGTTGTAGGGCTTTTTACCCCAAATCTGGGAACTAGTTCACTGGTGTCTGGTTTTCTGTGTCTGTGTCTGTGTTGGTAAACAGCTCCAGGATCAGACATCTTTTGGGTGCGTGACCTCATTAAAACATGCCTGTGCCGAAAATTGTCTATCTCATCAGGATCATGTGTTAGAGGCCCCACTGGTAAGATTTTTTTTGCTGAGTTAAAGTCCCAAGGCTGGGATTGTGGGTTTAAGGGAGGCAATACAAAAGAGTTACAGCCCCTGGGGAACTCAAATGATTGGGTTAGAGTCACTAGCTCTGGGTTAGAGTCCCAGAATATTGGATTTCGGTGTCTCTTCCTGTTGTCTATGTCTGACTGTTTTATTTGTTAAAATTGGCTGTCTGGGGACCGAGTTTCTCAGTGATCATAACAAATTCTCTTTAGAAATTACGTTGTTTGTTATGGCCACTTTGGGAAAAGCACCCTAAAATAGGGATAATTGTAAATAGCTGGCAAGATAAACTGGGATAATTTAAAATTACAGTGGGTATTTTGGTCTCTTTTTGAGCCTCAAAACCAAGGAACAAGGAAAAGTCTTTAATCCCTAAAGAGTCAAGGGCTCCACCTTTTGACCCAAAGTTTCCAGAAGCTGTAATTGTTTACAGACAACAGCAGAATCTTACCAAGCTTATTTTGTATCCTGAGGGTTTGGCTTGGTAATTGTCAGGTTGGGGGACGGTTGTGGGGGGGGGGGAGGTGTCCCAAAACTGCAATGGGACAGAAAAATGCGGTTGCACTCCATTCTGCGGTCAGAGATGGTTGGACAGAAATGCAGGTTGCACACCTGTTTGTGGCTAAGGGTCCTACCAAACTGCTGTCAGCCTCAGGGAAATTACATTGGCCTTAAGAAGAAAGCCTTGGCTTGGCCTTCATTGTGAAGGTCTTGGTTTCAGGGATACCTGAAAATTTTTGTGATTTGGTACTGGCTGCAGGATAAATATACTTTTGACTGGCCAGGTCTAAATTCTGAAACAATGGGAAGTGGAAATTCAAGCCCCACCTGTAGCCCCTTAGGCTGTATTTTCCCAAATTGGGTGACTTTTAGCTACAAGTACATAGTATGAGCTACTGGGTACTCATTGGTTTATAGATCCTTCCCCTCCCGGAGATGGTCACTCTGTCTTTTGTGTCCTTTGTCATAAAAAGGAAAAACTATAGAGCAAGATGTAGGCATCTCCATAAGCCTGTTATCTGGGTGAGCCTGCAGTAAACATTGCTGTAGGGCCCACCTATGGAGTCTGTGCATAAGGTGGGAGCTGTTGCTAAGGGACATCTTGGAAGCCGAAAAAGGCAGCAAAATTGGTGGGCACAGGTCAAGCAGTAAAGAGGCATTAGGGTGCTCACCACCTCAAGAAGACTTTCATGATAGGATAAGTTGGCCACAGAACAGGGTAGATGATGACAGGTCCTCCACCAACATCAAGAAAATGTCTGGGCAACAAAATACTCTATAAAGCACACATGATCCCTAACCCCACGGCTCCTCCCTCCTAGGGATTAATCTGGCTCCAAGAGACCCAAGGCTTAGCTAAAGCTCTTAACGTGCATATAAGATGAGGTTTTTTCTTTTATCTTGCTCTATGTCTTAAGAGCTTGGCTTTGTGACCTTTCTGGTCTCTGCCATCTGGAGGGTGCAGATACCAGCATGTATCTTGGTGGCCAGTCAAATAGACTGGGGTTCCGAGACGCACTCTGTTTGTCTGGCTGTGTCAGCTCTCAGAGGAGTTTGTCATAAGGGGTCCCAAGTGCTTTCATGAACGGCCTTTGTCATCTCACTGTTCGTTGCTTGTTCACTAACTGCCTTGCAATGAAGGTCTTTGCTTTATTAGACTATTTTTGGGAGTGACCTTTCTGGATCTTGTGAGGGCTGCTTCTTTTGCACTCTCTTTTGGGGACGCCTCTTGCATCCATGGTTAGGCCATAAAAAAGGCTTATTTGTTTGCATTACTGGTAAGATCCTACTCATCACTGTGCCAGATGATGGATCGCTTAAATTAGAAAAACTAAATTGGAAAAAATTTTTAGAGAGGTCTCATCATAATTGTTTTGTTCGTACCTATGAAAAGACCAAATTAAAAAGGAAATACAAACAAGAATAATGAGTAGACTTAAGACCCTGACTCAGGCTACAATTAAATTGAGATATTGAGACATTAGAAACTGATAAGGCAAATATGGCCTGGAAACTCCATCTTGAAGAGAACTTGACTGCTTTCTCTGTGCCTTTATGACGTAAATTTTCTACTCCCATCTTCTCTAGGACCTTACTGCCGTTCTTTGAAATGCAGATGTTTCTCATAAACTAGGAAGCTTTGTATTGCACCTGATTCATAAAACATTAATAGAAGCTATATGTCTCCCTGTGTGCTCATGCATGTCTATATCTATGTTATATGTCTGTGATATTTTACCTCCAGATGGTATGGCCAAAATTAAGAGCTCTATTTAATTGGCTTTAAGTAAGAGCTTACATAAATTATTTCTAAATGTAGCAGAAACTAACTCACATGTCTTTCAAGTTAACATGATGTGAAATGTTGGTAAATAAAAGCTTATTTAAGCTTGTTGGTTTGATTAAAATAGGCATGTCCTCAGAGTTACCAGAATTGGATATGATGCAGACATACAGCCTAGGTTTACTAGTCAAATAAGCTCATGTTGTCCCTATTATAAATTTGTCAGCAAAATAATAGCTTAGAATGATAACTGATTTTGTCTGATGTCTCAAAGTCTTTATAGGCAATCTAAGTAATTATTGGAAACAGTTAAACTAAATAAATTTTAAGAGGGTAAAAGTTTTTGGTGAAACTTTTCAACAATGATTCTGTGTTACAACGTAAGTACTTAAAACAACCTAAGATGATGGCTAACTGCTTTAGCATCACATTTTTCCTGAGTAATCTAAGTATTACTGTTACAGACGAATGGTCTAGATGTAAGTGAGGTAAAAGTGTAGAGAGAAACATTTAACAATAATTATGCTTTATGACATTAAGTTCCCTGAGTAATCTAAATATTACTGATACAAATGGTCTAGATGTAAGTGAGGTAAAAGTGTAGAGATAAACATTTAACAATAATTATGGTTTATGACAAGTACTTAACATAGCTTCCAGAATCTCTTTGGTAACTTGAAACATTGAAGTTTTGCTAGGCTAAAATGAATGATAAAACAATTCATTGGATATCTGGGTCATTTTCAAATAGGATAAAATACTGAAAGATTATCACTAAACATGTCTAAGTTTATCTACTTTTATCTTCTTATTACAAAGAAAGTAAAAGGTGTTTGGGTCTATTAGTAAATATGTCTTGTATTTTATTAAAAATACTATGGTGTAGCATGTTTCTAGAAATTATGATAAGCGTGTAGAATGCTAATATAAAATACAGTTCATACTTGTTTACTTTTTAGTTTTCACTAAGGTCTGTAAGGGTTAAAAATTCTAATTAATATATATAATTAAAGCTACTAAAAATTAATAAGGAAAATATCTTTGTATTCAAGGAAAGTAAGATACATGTTTTCAGTAAAGAAGGTATAAAGAAAAAAATGTGGAAGAATAGCATCATTTTAAATTTTTGCAAATTTATCTAATGCCTTGCTAATTGAAGACATCTGGATTTCTACATAAGTGTCTGTAGTCAATCTGTTGTGATATAATGTTTCCCATTGATGGAAATGAGGAAAATCCAGCTTCCCACAGACGTGTAACTGGAAAAGAAGGAGTATTTCATTAGCTTTTCAGCTATTTGTGGCTGTTCTTTGATACTACACTGAAACTCAACAGTGGTAATTTCTCAAAGGTTTGTTGCAATCTGAAAATATATCAATGAATTTTTTGCTCCGTTACATTAAAATACTCTAGTCTATCCTATACTTTGAATGAATCTCTTACCCAGGAATGATTTTTGACCTGACAGCTCCTCTGAAAGGTTTTGGGGACTCCCGGAAGTCCCTAAACCACTTGTGAGAGCCACAGTTGTAGAGAGAAGAGGGCTGCCTAAGCTTTGGGTTCATCAGCAAAACCACGAAACAGGTGAACAGATTTGAATGCAGCGTATCAAATATAACACGTCTTCTGTTTTTAAGTATAACCTAAATTAAATGTAAACCAAATATTGGGAATAAATGTCAATGTAAATGCAACACAAGGGTAAATAATTTTAATACTTAAAAGATTCACAGATCAGTAGATAAAGCACTAGTATTACATAAGTTAATGAGGACAGGACATGAGCACAAAAGTGTATAGAAAAAATAACAACATGGAAAATGCTAAACAAAGACATAACATTTTAAGTAGAAATCAAAAATAACCTATTAAAAATGTCAGATTAGCAGATAAGAGGGCAATGAAATTGACACTCATAAATTGTAATTAGAAACATTTGCTACAAAACTTGAGGAAACAATCGAGCAACATGTATTAATAGCCTTAAAAATATCTATGTCCTATGTCTTCTGAACACCTGTGTTAAAAGATTTTAGGGGCCAGCCCCATGGCCAAGTGGTTAAGTTCACACACTCCACTTCTGTGGGCCAGGGTTCGTCGGTTCAGATCCTGGGCGTGGACCTGGCATCGCTCATCAAGCCGTGTTGTGTTGGCAGCATCCCACATAGAAGAACTAGAATGAGTCAGAATTAGGATATACTACTATGTACTGGGGCTTTGGGGAGAAAAAAAAAAAAGAGGAAGATTGGCAACAGATATTAGTTCAGAGCCAATCTTCAAAAAAAAAGTGTAAAAAAAAGATTTATATTGAAAAATGCTTTGTGGAAGAAGATGCTCATGATGGCACTATTTATTATAGAAAAAATAGAGAATTGTTAAATTGATTGTGGTTTAATTTACCCGATGAAAGATTAAACAGCCATTGGAGAGAAAATTGCTCACAATGAGTATACAATAAAAAGAAAAAAATACTTATGCTATAATGTTAAGTGAACAAAGTAAGGTTCAAAAATTGATTATTCAATAGGATAAAAATTATGATTAACAGCTATAACAAAAGAGCTAAACTAATGTTAGTTAAAAGTGCTGGAGGGAAGTCTAGCCAATTGATGACTGTCTTTTGTTGTCAACACTCTGGTTGTTTCCTTTTCTAGTTTTTTCTATTTTTCTGAATATTCCAAAATTTTTATAGGGAACAGTGTTTTGTTTGTTTGTTTGTTTTTTATTAAGGTTATGAAAGTTAACATCCTTGTGAAATTACAGTTGTACATCATTATTAGTCATGTTGTAGGTACACCACTTCACCCCTAGTGCCCTCCCCCCACCCTCCTTTCCCCTGGCAACCACCAATCAGTTCTCTTTGTCCATGTGTTAACTACCACCTATGAGTGGAGTCATATAGAGTTCGTCTTTCTCTGTCTGGCTTATTTCACTCAACATAATACCCTCAAGGTCTATCCATGTTGTTGTGAATGGGATGACTTTGTCCTTTTTTATGGCTGAGTAGTATTCCATTGTATATATATACCACATCTTCTTTATCCAATCATCAGTTGCTGGGCACTTAGGTTGGTTCCATGACTTGGCTATTGTGAATAATGCTGTGATGAACATAGGGGTGCATGGAACTTTTGGAATTGCTGATTTCGGGTTCTTAGGATAGATATCCAGTAGTGGGATGGCTGGGTCATAAGGTATTTCTATTTTTAACTTTTTGAGGAATCTCCATACTGTTTTCCATAGTGGCTGCACCAGTTTGCATTCCCACCAACAGTGTATGAGGGTTCCCTTTTCTCCACAGCCTCTCCAACATTTGTCAGTCTTGGTTTCGGATATTTTTGCCATTCTAACAGGTGTAAGGTGATATCTTAGTGTAGTTTTGATTTGCATTTCCCTGGATGATTAGTGATGATGAGCATCTTTTCATTGTCTATTGGCCATCCATATATCTTCTTTGGAGAAATGTCTGTTCATGTCCCCTGCTATAGGGAACAGTTTTTTATCATACACAAGAGTATACTCTTTAATTTTTAAAGTATTATTTTTTAACCACTGACACCAGCCAAGCTCCTGGCCAAGAGCTAGGAGAGAAGGCCTGTGCTTTGGACCTCCTAGGATAGATGCTTTGCCTTTATGCAAAACCTCCTTTCTCTTCAAGATTCTACATTCCTTGCACCCACTTTGTTCTCAGCATCGTTCTTGAGTTACAGCAAAAAGTCCTGCCTTTTCTTCCTTCTTTAAGAAAGTCCCATCTCCAGACTAGCAGAAGAAGCTCGTTTGGCCTTACAGTATCCCTGTTCAATTCTGCCTGCATGAGAGATGCAGTTACTGTGCGTGTAGAAGTTATGACTTCCCTTTGCCAGTGATCTGTGTTCCGGTCCTATGGCTGTTTTGTCTCCCTCTTGATCTTTCTTTTTGTCATGTAAACAATGACAGGGACTATTTAGACTGGGCTTGATGATGTCCATCTGCTCAGAGGGTTCCTTTGATACAGCCAGCTCTCGCATTCCTTTATGCCATTCATCAGCCTGGCATTCGCTGCTGCAACAGGAACTTCTTTCTGGTCTCCTCTCTGTTGCTGACATTAATGCTGTTACTGAGGCCCCACTTGAAGTCTTCCTCTACTCGCCTGCTTTGTAGGCTGCAGCAGTCAGCAGTCTCCAAGTAGGATCCTAGATCAACAGCCACTGAAGAGGACTATGGGGTGGGGAGGGGAAGGACAGCAATTGCCCTGACTGGAGGCCTGTCCCACGGCTGCCCTCAGTCCTGCCGCCTAACGTATCAGGGCCCTCCCCAGCTGATTTCGGAGCTCCCGCTTCAGTTCCAGCAGAGGTAGAACGAACACACAGGATTGGGATCTCACAAGTCTCTTTCCACTTTAAAAATGGTAAGAGGGCACCAGCAGAAGCCTCGCTCTCTTCCCGGTTCTGGGTCTGACCCCTCCAGCAATCCTGGTACTGAAATTACCAAACTCAAGCAATACACAGCTCCCATTGGGGCTGACAGGGGTTCTCCTGGATTAAAGATGATGACCACTCTCCATGCCCCCCCTTCCTGCTACCATAAAAAGACATGTTTTTAATTGTGAGGTGCTAATGTTCTAGATACATGAACTTAAAGTGTTTTGCAGATATCCTGAGGACATTTCACAATTAATGCAGAGTTAAATAGATGTGGCTTCCAGTGATTGGCAGTGGGAGTTAATAATAATGTGTCTTCTCCTCGTTAAAGTAGGTAGCTACCTAGTGGTCACACACCATGGGAGAGCTCTTTTGTCCTGTGATTGCTGAACATGGTGAAGTGAGGGTGATTTTGTGAAGCGGTTTTTAGTTCTTGGTATAGTTTATATATCATAAAAATCCAATATAACGTGGATGGGGAAGGTAAGGCAGACTCTGCTACTTGAAGTATCACACTGCTTATCCTCAGTCCCACAACCATCGTGACCTCAAACAAATCCAGCCAAGTAAATGCACAACACTTGCTTTTTCCTCTGCCTTCCTAACCAGTTGTCTTCATATTCTTTCTGCTCTAACAGCTGCTACTGGAGTGAAACAAAAAAGAATCCACTGCCCTGCCCTGACACTATCGGGAGTGTTCCCAGGGACAGGACATCCATAGCTCCATCCAATATAGGACATCAAAACATCCCACCCACACCACTGCTGCAAATCCCCAAACCGAGCATAAACAGTGCATTCCAGTGGATTCATACTAATTTCTAAAGTTATCACATTTATCTAATATTTTTCCCCATGTAACCAAACATATATGTACCTGTAACTAATTATCAGAATTAGAAATCAGCCATTGCCTAAGATGGAAAATAGAAACAGTCCATCCAGGAAGGAGTTAGATTTTCTTGCCATTGATTATAAAACGTATATGTCTTCTTTGCCATATAATTATAGCATTATTTTTAATGACCCCCCACTCTCTTTAAAGCAGATTTCAAAAAATGACTTGGAACTGATTTTTCTATCCTAGAATTACACTGTTCCTTCTGGTGACTTGTTGGTGTTGTCTCCATTTTGGCTACATAGAAACGCAAAGCATTTTCCTGAACCTGAATCGTTCAAACCTGTAAGTTATCTCTTTCAATATACATTGTCCTTTAATTTTAATTTGTTTTTATGCCAGGGGTATGAATTCATAAACTAACTAGGACTATATTATTAAGCAGCCATATCTCTCTAGGAACAAAGGCTACAAAGTACAGATTAGATTTGTAATATAGATAGTATAACGCTTATGATCAGATAGAAAAGTTTTTGGAATAAGCTTCACCAACTTTAAAATAAATTTTTATCTGAAACCAGCAGGGCGTGTTAAAGTAAATATGCCTGGTCCTGATAGAAGATTTATTCCATGTTCTTCAGGCAGTTGCTTCTGTTAATTGGTTTCCAAGGAGTACAAAAAAACAAAAATGAAGCAAATTAAAACTGTGTCCTGATCGTTCTTAGAATTGGCAAGTTACAAGCTTGAATAGAATTTTAAGAGGTCGTTTAGTCCATTCCCTGCCTTTAGGTAAAACTGTCAAAAATGGCATCCAGATAGATTCCTTCTACATCCCAAGCTTTCTGCAACAAGCAAGGCTGTCAGTGTCTTGTTACTAAACTTATTACCAAGGGCAAATTTATAATGGAGCCTGAGGCCTTATTATAAATATTCTTCCTCTTCTGAGGTCAATTCTGTGGTTGATTTACGTTATCATTTACATTTACCACTTAACAGAATTCTTTTTAAACCTTTTTATTTATTAGTTCACGTTCCAAAAACACAATTGTGTCTGATATTAATAACAGGTTGGAAAAAATTACCAACAACACTGCAACTTTATATGTGAGGATTAGCTGTACAAGGTCATTTTTAGCCTAGAGAAATAAAGTTAAGCTTATTTATATAAGGCTGATTTGGAAAAAAGAATGCTTTCTTCCCACAGGAACGTTGGAAAAAGGCAGATTTAGAGAAGCATGCTTTCTTGGACTACTTCATGGCATTTGGAAGAGGGAGGTACCAGTGTCCTGGAAGGTCAGTGAGACAGCGGGGCCACATTTATCCAGAAAGTCTGCAGAAAGATGCTGGCTCGGGGGGAGAAAGCTGTGGCTTAGTCCCTCTTTTCTTTATTATCAAAGTTTAGAGAAATCCAGGAAGCCAGCTTTTGTTTGGTTGGCCAGTTGTATTGTGTGATGTCTTTGCAGGAATGTCTAAAGTAGCTTCTGATAGGAGACCTCTTAAAAAATATCACAGTTGCAGCTGCCAGATGAAAACAGCACTTATGTTTAAAATGCTCAGCTTTCATATAATTTGAAGTGGTTTGAGTTCTACCTTTTTTAAAGATAAAGATAGAAATATAATACCTCTTTAACTACATTATTGTGGACATTTGCTGGGATTATAGAACATCTTTAGCTTGGAGCATCACAGCAGCTTACTAGATGGTTTTTGTTTATTGGGTTATTTTGGATCTATAAAAATTTTCCTTTGGTACCTTTTATAATTAAATTAATCTGGCACCCAGGACTCCCCTTGGGTGTGATGCTCTGTTCTAGGGCAAGTGTACTTCATTTAATGAAAGATATTTAATGTTTATTCATTCAATCAGAAACTGTTTTTGAACATCTCACCTGTGCCAGGCCCTCTGCTAAGCATCTGAGATCGAGCACTGAGGACAATGGACATGGTCCCGTACTTCATAAAACTTACCGTCTACATTAAATAAGTCGCATTTCTTCACTGGTGATGATTCTGTGGGAGAAATGTTCATACCTGTTTGTAACAAAATCTCATTCAGTGAATGTCCAAGTCATTTAAAAATCTTATTTTGGAAAAATTGTAGCTTCTTAACTGAAGAAATCAATCGTCTTCATTGTTTGAACAGTAATACCAATCCATCTTTGCAATTATGACTTACTCCACAGCATCCATTCTGCCCCTCCTTTGTTTTATGTTTTGTAGTATCAGTATGCTTTTAGTAATTTTCACCTCCCCCAAAATGGTTTTAATTAGTCTTAGCCAACCATGGGAATTCTATCTTCCTTTTTAGAATTTATTCTAGGAGTCTGAAGGTAAGCATATTAGTGCCTATAATTTCCCTGGAGACAACTGTTTGTCCAGGGGTAGGTAGTTGACCTAAACTGACCAATCAGACTGAAAGGACTTTTCTTCCACGGTTAGGAGAGAGGCTCATTCTGTCCTCTCCCACTGAATATGGACAAGAAAGCAGGTGGCCCCAGTTGTTACTCACAGTGAGTTCAAGCAGAATAAGCCTTATGATGGTGCAGAGTTTGTGGACAGCAGAGCAGAGATATGGAAAGAACCTGGGCCATGTGATGTCACTGTGTCAGTGAATCATTGGTTTTGAGGCACTCTTCTACATCCTGTTATGTTAGATTTTAAGTGTCATTATTTTTTAAGACAGTTTGAGTTGGACATTCCATTGTTTAGAGCTGAAGGCATGCTGCCATACCCACCAAAAAACTCCAAAGTTAAACATTGTAATTGAGTGTCAGATACTTTAGGGGCATAGGACAACAAACAAAAACAATAATAACAACAAAAACCCATCATGCTCATCCTGTCTCTCATATTACTTTGACTTCAGGGAACCAGTTCGTAAACCAGTAACACATTTATTATTTTTGTCTCCTATGAAAGTATCAATGTTCTAAGAGCAGCTCTTCTAAAAACAATAGATGTTCCTTTTTTCAGGTCCCTTTACATATGTTCCCAATAGCAGCTAAAGAGTTTATTATAACCATCTTTGAGCTAAGAGTATTTTTTTTTTTTTAAGATTTTTTTATTTTTTCCTTTTTCTCCCCAACGCCCCCGGGTACATAGTTGTGTATTCTTTGTTGTGGGTTCTTCTAGTTGTGGCATGTGGGATGCTGCCTCAGAGTGGTCTGATGAGCAGTGCCATGTCCGCGCCCAGGATTCGAACCAACGAAACACTGGGCCGCCTGCAGCGGAGCGCGTGAACTTAACCACTCGGCCACGGGGCCAGCCCCTGAGCTAAGAGTATTTTAAACCAAGAACTGAAGTACTTTGCAGTGAAGCATGTAGTATGGGCCAATGGTCAAGGGTTAACTAATGACTGTTGTTTCTAGGAGGGGCTGTTATGACATTACTGTATCTTTTGATGCTGATAGACATTTGCTTGAGTTTGACAGTAAAGTTTACAATAGAAGGGAACCATGACATTTCAACTCCATCAATAGCATCTTATTTATACAGAAACTGTACATTTTTTAATGGACTGGGCTCTTACTATATGGAAGGCAGTGTCCTGGGGACTGCAGGAGCTTCGGGTTAGAGTAAGACATGTTCTCAGCCCTCAGGAGATGATATCTAGGAGAAGGCAAGGAGGATAACAAGTTCATAAATAAAGGCAAGGAATGCAGGATGAGAGATGCCTGAGCACCACACTGTAGAGATTTAAGAGAGAGGGTTCGTCTGGTGAGGGTGATCTTAGATTTCCTGGGGAAAGTGGCCTTTGAAGGGCTGAATGAACTTCCAGACTTAGGAAATAGAGTGAGCAAGAGGTCATTAAGTACAGGAGTATGTAGGTTAGGGGGTCATGGTTTTCCTGCTATTGGAACCAGATCACAGGTACTGGTGGGAAGTAAGACTGAAAAGGTACATTAGCCCAATTGGGAAGGCCCCTTAATACCTGGTTTAGGAGTTGGCTCGCAGCTCCCAAGGCACTAAGTGTGAAAAGGTGTAGGGTAGAGTGGATTCGAGTGGGGCATAATTTAGGTTATATGGTCATGCTAATATTCCATGTGAGACATATGGAGTAGTAAAATCTACCAGATATGGAAAATAATTAGAGGGAGGATTTGAGGAAGACTGTGGCTTTGAATCTAGGTAACTGGAAGAGATGGAGGCAATAGAGAAATCAGGAGTGGGACCAAGTTTGGGGACAAGATGTTGCTTTTCTTTGAAAACTTTTGAATTTGAAGTATAGCAAAATGTGTTCATATAACCAAAATCCATAAGTTAAACATGAATGTCGAATAAATATGACTTAATAAACATAAATCTCCTTAGTCTAGTTTTCTATTAACGTTCTATTTTTAAAAGTCTTTAATTTTTCTTTAGTTATTTAGTTATTTATTTTAAACAGCCAACTCATAAAACATTTTGTTTTTAAAGACAGACAAAACAGAAAATTGTTCAGGAAAGTGAATGACTTCATCTGGACAATGTATACCAAGATAGATCTTTGCACTAGAAATTTAATCCCACAAACCCTTAGTATAATCTCCAGAAAACTGCATCCATTCTTAGTTTGTATGCCAGGAGCCAACTTATTTTCTCATGCACCAAACACTCAGTGAGTCAGAGAAAGTTGCCTGAAAGTAGCTAACGATCCAAGATCGTCATGAACACAGTCTTGTGGCCTCACAGCTGTCACCTCTTGGAGTTCAGGCCACTGAGGCAGTATGAGAGCCCCTCTCACAACTAACACAGAAAGTTATGACAAATTTACTAAATAAGTACTCAGCGCTGCCATCAGCTGCCAACCAAAAATCAGAATGGAAGAACTGTGGTGCCTCTTCCAAACGGTGGGAGTTCTGAAAATACATTTGGAGGAGGAAGGCCTTGCTGGGCACTACGCTGTAACTGGGAAGCTCCTGGGGCCACACAGGAAGGGAACTCTTCCCGGTAATTCCATTGCTGGAGAAGTCTGGTAGTTTTGCAGAAAAACTGACAGGAGGAAGCAGCATGAACTACTAGACTTCTTCAGTAATGGTAGCATTCAAAATGAAGAGCCTCATTATAGTGGACATTCTCCTCTTCGACTATGAATTTAAATGGAGGAGTTGGACAGGGGCTCTCTAGTGTTGAGTGGGTCTCTGAGAGTTGATGATCTGAGCAGAAAAGGATGTGCTTGCTATACCACACCCTGGAATGTACACCAGAGCCAAGAGCCGTGAGTTTTTTTGGTTCCCATCCCTGCAAGAGCATGCCTGGTTAGCTGTATCATTGTGCTAATTGATATGGGTAAATTCCAGTGGAAAACAATAGCCCTGATCTGTGGCAAGATAACCCCGCTTACAAAGGCACGCTTGGATAAGAAGAGGGTGTAAGAAGACTAAGGTTGCAGTACTTGAGAAATGGAAACGAAGCATAGATTCCTCGGAAATAGAAATGGTGATTTCTACTTGTTTGTACACACAAAGTCATAAACTTGTCTTGAATTACTAATGAAAATCAAACAGATATTGGAAAATTAATTCAAACGTAGGTCCAGCTGATAGTAGATTAGTAATATTATTATTCAACCTAACGAATATCTCTTGAGCACCTAGTATGAATGTGATTATTCTTGTATTCAATAAATATTTATCGAGTATATGCTACATGTCAGGGTAGGGATCTAGGAGTTACCTTGAAAAACAAAATAATGGATGAAGCCCCTTTCCTCAAGGACCTTATAGTCTAACTCAAGTCACTTTATTAAACAACAGGGAGATTCAAAGGCACATAAACACTCCTGAATAGCTTATAATGTGGTTGGGAGATTAGACATAGCAACATGAGAAACAAGCCCTGCTTAACAGCACCGGATGGCTCTTGAGAAATGCCAGATGACTCATATACATCATAACTGCAGTCAGCGTTCAGGGGAAGGGGCATTAGAAAAGGCTGTAGGAACGAGATGAGAATAATCAGTAAACAGCCTGGAAGAAAGCACACCTTCCCCAGGGGCAGTGATATCAAACTTTGAGGGGAGAAACAAATTAAGTGCTCAGAGGTATGTGACGTACCTGCATGCTACTGATAGCAAGGCAACCATATATTTAGTGTTTGTGAAGCTCTGGGCACAGTTGTTTCTATATGCTTATATTAAAGATAATGTCATTTTAATAATTGTGCTTTGTTCTGTAAAATACCCTTGCACAATCTTGTATTTGAGATGTACTGGAAGTAGCTTTTCTCCCTTTTATGCTTAGAAGTAGCTGATTGCTTTTGAGGAGTGAGCAAACTCACGTCCCCATGGATTTCATGAGAAGTTGCAAACTTGA